GGGACCATCTAATATTGTATGGGAGTGAAGCGGCGTACGAATTCAAATGTCACTTTTTCGCGTGAGAAAAAAATCTCGAAGTGATTTCTATCGTCCCTAGCGAGATCGGGTTACGTGTATCTGTGAAAAAATATAAATCCGTGATATTGTATTTCTTTCATTTTTTGTGGAGAAAAAATATTTGGTAACAAAATTTGTATTAAAGATGGAGATTCATTTTCTTGTTGACATTTTCAATAACCCCAATTTCTTCAGTAATTAATTATTATCACCTGAGATATAGAATATATGTACGATAATTTTCAAATATGTTTGAGGAAATATTTCGTACATAAAAACACGAAAGCAATTATACGAGTATTTCAATATAATTACTAATAATATAAGCTCATTTTCAAATGAAACCTATCTAGCAAAGTTCAGTTGAAACAACGACATTTACTATGAAAGTGTGTTTAAGGAATGGAAAGAAAACGCCACTAAAATCGAAGTATCTGAAGACCCTCTAGAGTCCTTAATTAAACTCAAGGCACGTAGCACTCCTTGATTCAGTCCCCCCGACACCCCCACTCCTCCTACCTTATGGACCGCTTAGATTTCCTCCCAGTAGGTTGTGTGGACGGAATTCGCTAAGACTTGAATCTTCTCTGAAGAATTGGTTTTGAGAGATTGGACAGTTAGTTTTAGTTGTTTTCTTACATGGTCATGATTACTTTTATTTTTAGACCAACGAAAATAACTTTACTTTTGCTAGTTCTAATATTAGATAATTCTCGTTATAGTAAGATACTTATTTTTAACATAAAGTGAATATTAAAAATCTTAGATTTAAACAACTCATTTATATGTAACATTCGTTCAATTGAAAGCGTCTTACGGATCTAATTACGCAATTAGAAGAAGTCTTCGAATGAATTTTTACTATTTTTAAGCGGAAAGCCTTTCAAAGTAATCAGAGGGTTGGAAGCCGAGTATAGAACATTTGGCTCGAGAATTGCAATTATTAAGTATTTTATACTTTTAATTTTGTTCTTCATAGTCTTGTTTCAATGGATATTGCCGTAGCCAGTATCCTACACGGAATTGTGATTTCACAAGTTTTACTCTCATTACATTTTAATCTAAAATAAACATATACCTACATATATTGATATATAAAGTAGTAAGCTTTAATAAAGTAAGTGTTTTAAAGAGAAAGCTTTTCATAATAAAAGATGAAACAGCAATTACCTCTAAAGCCATAATTGCATGACAATGAAAACTAATTTCGCAAATGCTTCTGAATTCTTTACCACAAAACAAACCACGACCGGAAAATAATGCAAAAAATAAGCCAAAAAAGCAAAGAGAGGAAAATTTAGCCGCTGTGTAATTATTGCGAGAGCTAATGCGCCTCTTCTTTACTCCCCGACTAATTAAGAGGAGGAAGTGTTTAAAAAATGCCTTACCAGCGTATTTTGAAAATCAAACTTTTATGAAGCTAAAGCACTTAAATGATTCTACTTGTTTGCTACTACTGTCCATTTTAATTTTGACTTCCTTTTTAAGTATCTTTATTTTTTACCCTTCATTCTTTTTTAATTGTTTTGGATGTCACAGGGTGACGTTTTAGGTCATAATTTATTCCATTTTTATATTAGAGATAACATTTTATAATTGTTATTATATATATCTGCATATAAACCGGCGCTATGTGAACGATTCATTAAATACTCACAACTATTAGATAGATAATTACCGTAACAGGTAGAAGTTCAGGGGAAACTAACTTCGAAGCTCAATTAGCGTCGAATTAAACCGGTTCGGAGAGGTGACAAATCGCGGGTCGCGGTCCTACATCTTGACATTGACTAATCGCTCCCCATTTAATTTAGCTGGCGCAATTATAAATAAAATTTCGACGATAAATTGTATGGTGGCACATTAATCAAGAAGTTGGGACGCTGATTAAAATGCTGTTCGCGTAACTATTTGCTAAGTTGATATTGTTAATAATTTACAGGTGGGGTGGGGATGATCGGGTGTGGCTATTAATGACTTTACTTGCATAAGATTATGTACTTAAGTCTATAGTTATACAATAGTGTTCAATTGACACTAATATTACTTAATATTGTGAAACCTTATTATCTTTGTACACTTAGATATACTTCACTGTTAATTTTTCATCAGTACATTTTCCGGTAATTTATTGCCCGTACTTAATATTGATTAAAAAGTGTCAGACATCACCGTGGAAGATAACCTATTCGCTTTATAGGGACGAAAATTTATTCATTCATTGCCATATAAATAGTATAGCTACGGTAACATGTGCCGCAATAACTAACCCAACCTTAAATCTTGGCTCTCGGTCATGCCCGGTGTCTCAAGTATGTCTCTCTCCTTCACACCCCCGTAAAGCAATGAAAAGCGAATCACGGATCCCCCACCCCTGTCTTAAATGAACTGGGGGTTGATAGGGATGTTGAGATCTCTCTGAAGTACCTTGTTTACGTTACATAACAGAAATTCTTGGAAATAAATCAATGATAGATTTTATACACTTATATACATTTATAGTGGATTTTTTGGAAAAATTGAAATAATTTTAAATAGCGTATTCAATTATAAGAGTAGATATGATGATTATTTATTAAAAATTCAAATATAAACATGTCTTTAATGATCTTGTGTATCTGATATAGTAGCAGTGTAATTTAATTATAAGCCTTGAATGGAAGCTTACGAAAAATTCCTAATTATATGCTACTAGCGGCTCACCTTCGCTTCGCACGGGAACCGTACATTTTGCCGGGATGAAAAGTAGCCTCTATGTTATTCAGATGTATGACTTATATTATTGTAAAGTTAGATTAAAATTAGTTTTTGCGTGAAAGAGTAACAAACATCCATACATCTATACATCCAGACATCCACACAAAAATCAGAAAAACGATTGTGAAAGTTCGTTCGAGTTTGGTAACTAGCAAAACATTTTAAGAACCGAAATGAAATTGACTTTATTATTAGTCAGTAGGTACTTATTTATTCTTTGCTATTTCTGATAAACCCATTTTTTTTTGAAAATTTGCAATTTAACAAATATATTGCTATATTAAAAACTATAAAAATATTATTTATAGTTAATGCTATTACAGAGATTATAATGCTTAATATTCATACAATCGGTTTAGGTTTAAATTGTTGTTTGAGCATCCCGTAATCTTGTTCCACGGCTTAAGTGATATTGGAACAATGGACTATGTACCGCGACATATTGTATTCATGAATGACTGTATACTCACAGATACTAACTACCCTTAGGAGACCGAGAAATGACTAGATAATATTGGTATCTTCTGAAAGTAGTCTCAGCCGAAAGAATTACGGACGGACTCCGCCAAAATAAATGCCAAAGTAAAAATTGTAGCGTGATTTACTGCTTATGCTACTATTCTAGATTTTGCCATAAAGATCGCTTACTTCCTTTAAAGAAGAAGGGAAATTCTATATATTACTAGCACTGCCCACGATCAGATGACCAAAAGCCAAATTCTTACATTTTACATATTAGTATACTCTTACATTGCAGTTTTTGTATATTTTCTCAGAAATGAGATATTTTTCCGCGGTTAAAAGTATCCTATATGTTGACCCGGATAACCAGCTATCATCATACTAAATTTCATCAAAATCCCTCCAGTGGTTTTTCTGTGATGCGGTAATAGACAGACTGACAAAAATTCTAACAACTATAGATTTGGCCTCTGTATCGATAATAATGTTTATTTCAATAAGATTTTCAAAAAAATATTTAATGTACAGATTGGGCTTAGTTACAATTTTATTATATTTAAATTAAATTAATATTCAATTAAATATTAATAAAAAAAAACTTTTGTATTTTTAAGCATTAGTTTTTTTTTAATTTGGCTTCGTGTTTAGTTCTATGACAATCTATCTCTATTATTTTTTAGTTTGAAAGTAGTTTATAGTTACTAGCAGTTAGTAAGTGATGATACTAAATTTTATTTATGACGTCGTAACTCAATATTATGTTATAACAAAATATAAGTGAATAGCGAAGGTTGAAAAAATGAATCGATACACTGTGTTTGCTATACACGAAATAATTAAATGATTTTTTTTTTAATTTGTATTCAGTCCTTTTGGACATCCCACTACTGGGCACGGGCCTACTTTCAATATGAGAAAAATTAGGCCATAGTCCATTCGTCTTTAATTTGTTGACGTTATATTTTAAAATTTCTACTAATAGGTAATTTTAGGCTCAAATTACGTTTAAATTTAATTTTTCAATATAACATCCGTGTGTATCGAGTAAAGCAATCGCCCTATAACCCACCGCAAACGCCTTCCATTCTCTCTGCGATTATTATAAAACACCCCAACTCATCTTAGGTGCTAATGTACATTAATTATGTGGTGAGGGGTAAGATGTTGTGACAAAGTTGAAATACGCCGGTACTCTAAATGGAAAGTTAAGGTGAATTATTGTTTAAGCTTAGCTGAATCTTGTTAGGAATTTAACAGCTACAATATAGATACTTAGAGGTTTAATTATAAAGTTTAGTGTAGGATAAGGACCTTGTAAATAATATTATATATGTATGTGATTTCTGATGTTTTATTATTTAAATGACACTTTGACTTCGACGACGCGTTTGGCTCAGTTTGTAGTTACCCTACTTGCTGTGCCAGCGGTCGCAAGTTCGAGTCACGCTAGGGGCATTCATTTGTGTGATAAGCATGAATGTTTGTACTCCAGTCAAGTAACAGCAGTGTTTATATCTATAATATATATGTATTTAAATTTATATATGTGTTCAACTATCTGATGTCCATAACACAAGCCTCGTAGGTTACCATGGAACTAGACGGTGCTGTGTGTTAATATCCCAACATATTACTATTGTTAAATGAAGACTTAAAACATAATAATAATATCAATACCTTCAGCCAAATATACTTGATATAAAACAATATAAATAACTTACCTGTATGTATATATGTGTGTTTCTTCATATCAGATTTCTGATGGAACCGCTTGCCGCAATACTGGCAAGGGTAGGGCCTGGTGTCAGAATGTATGAGGAGATGAGTGGAAAGTGTGCTGGACCTCTTGAAAGTTTTCCCACATTGCTTGCATTCGAAGACTTTTTCTACACTGTGCACAGCCCTGTTGAAAGGGATTCCAATTAAATAACATAACATTCTATATCAAATTTAAATTCGCATGACCTAAGATGAAGAAGAAGAAGAAAACTAGTTTAAATTAAACCAAGTACACCGGTATTACTCATTAATATACCATGCATAATACAAAGTGCATTTATTATTTTATAATAATTATGGTGAAAGTATTACCGGTGTTGACTGAGGCTGATTTCATGGCCGAATGTCTTGCTGCACAACTCACAGGCGAACGGTCTTTTTCCATTGTGTGATCTTCTCGCGTGCACTTCTAATCCATGTGGAGTGCTAAACATTTTTTCACATTTTACACAAGAGTACACGTCACCTATTGGTAGGGGTCTTGATAGCGGGCTTGGGGTACCAAGAACGGCTGCACGTAATCTAAGTAGTTCAGGACCGGCTGCTTGCACTGCATGAAGGTATAAATTACTATAACCACCCCAAACTGGAAGGCCAAGGCTACCAGCATCTCTCAGAAATTCTGCGAATGGTAGTGGTGGATATAGAATTGGTCTTTGAGGTTGAACTCTTGGTGCATCTGGTCGTAATAGTGCACTGACTGAAAAGGCTTCCGATCTTTTCAGAGGTGGTGAAGAATCAGGTGGTCTTCTTGGTGATGATGGAGGTGAATCTACTTCTAATTCGGGTGAAGTTGAACGTATGGAACGTGGTGAATGTGGTGATGGCGCCCAGCAAGGGCTTCCGCATCGTGATGTAGGAGATACATCTTCAACTCTAGAAGTTTCATTGTTATGTGATTCATTATCTTCTTCATCAGTCTTCTCACCAACTAATCGGTTAATACCGAATTTGATCTCTTCTGAAAAAGAAGAACATATTTAAACAAAACTGTGTAATTTATAAAAACAATTAATTCTTGTATCCAAAGGGACAATTTTACAGAAAGGTTCGATACACTTGTACGAAAATTGTAGCAGAATACTCAATATGTTTGGGAGCGAGCGCTTAAAGGGACACAATGCAATTCGCTATTGTTTGCTAAAAGAGCACAAAGGACTGAAACGCCCCTAGGCCAGTGAAAAAGCGCAGGTGCCACACTTGTCGCTCCGATGAAATGAGCCGTATCATGTCGCAGCAGCAAATTGACTTTCATCTGTTCTACCCCTCGCCCAACCCAAGTAATTAACACGTTGGGTCAGAGGGACCCCAATCTTTTTTTACAATTCGGTAATCCGCGGGCGCGAGCAAATGTAACTATGACCTTCGATGTTCTATTTGTTTGGTTTTCTATTTAATTTCAATTACTTATAAGAGTCTTTATAGAAATAAAATGTAGTGTTTGTATTATACGATATTATTATGTTCTTTATACTATTTACAAAATTATTATTAATGTTTTCTTTTACAATTTATATAATTATTAATCTGTAACTTTAAATGTATTATCAAATGTTATTTATTTAGTACTTATCTTGCAAAATCTCATTAAAAATAAATAATAAAAATAAAAAATAAATAAAGGTTATTAAGAATTTATTTGTTTTTTTTTCTAAAATATTTCAATAGACTATAGACGATTTTTGACCTAACAAACTAAAATAACAAAAATATGATATATGTATTTATAGTTATACAATAAAATGCAGTGTGATAAATAATCTACAGATCATCAAGAAACCATCAGCCCAAACTCACGCTGTCCATAAACAAACATCCATCTCGAGGCGAGACAAGTTACACTAATGAAGAGCGACCCCTATATCTGAAATTCTGCAGCTGTCTTCATTCGGAGCGGAACCAATCGGCCGAATTCGGTGAAATTCGGCAATGACTTCGTCCCTTAAACATTTTACGCTTAGGACTTTTCAATGGTAGCAGTTTAGGGTTGCTACACTACACTTGTTTGTTTGTCCCCCACGCGACACGCTTTTATTACCCCTTAGTATTTATTACATATTAATGGTTATTTAGATTCATTGTTCTGCTTCAACAGTATGCTCGAATTCACGTCCTTGCGAAATATTGTATAGGGCTCTATTCAGGGTAATGGAGTGAATTGTAAAGATAGATATTATTGTGCCTATTGTGCTTTGTACTGTAATAAGATAATATAAGTTATTTGAAGTTTTGATTATTATGGGCAAGCATTTTCCTCTACTTACCCACTCATTTGAGCAATGTGTTATTTTGTTTTGATGTGTTTTTGATAGTTATTGTTTTTAATGATATTGAAGTTATTATATAGGACTGAAAATTAATGACCAATTTGGCTGAAGTTAAATACGGTTATATTTATGAGAAAGCTTAATAAATGTCAAAAAAAAAAAACAAAAAAAACACTTTAACTTTATAAATGCATTCCTTTAAAAGAAGTTATGACATTTCCATGGATAAAACTGAATTTCCTAGAGGATGTATCAACCCTATACGTAATTTTGGTAAAACATTTATTACCCGTAACGAGACCTAACCAATGTACAATCCAGTTAAGACTTTTAAAAGGTAAACAGTGTTACGGTTGCATTTTTATTCAAACAGTGCATTCGTATCGTTACCGTCTATTTGCAGACTAATGCAATTTTAATTATAAGAGGCGCGCCCGCAAATTGCACGATGCACTCTGACATCAAAAATAAAAACCTATTAAAGGATATTAAGAAGTCGATTCAATTTAGAAATGAATACCTTTTAAAATATAATGTATACTATGAGGGAATTATAATTATGTCATTACATTGTTTATAAGACCTAGATTACGGTAATACTATGTTGTGGTTAGTTATCGAAGTGCTTCTGGTCACAATTTCGACTTTTCAAGACAGTTAAAAACATCTCAAAATTATGCCATCTATGTAGAATTTATTATAACAGGTTTTTTTTTATTTGTAGAGCTGTTTTTCTGTATTATTTTAAAGGCTAATCTAAAGTTTTAATTTTGATGATGATGATGATGATGTTCTCCTAGCCGATTCCGGCCACGGCGGCCAATCTCAATGAGATTAGCCAACTGCGCAGGAGATATTATAGTGCACAAGTGTACGCGCAGACACAAGTGCACTCTCTATTCCTATCACTCTCATACTCCGGTGGGACGACCACTCGACACGACCGGTGAGAGTTAAGGCGCAGGACCGACGGCTTTACGTGCTCTCCGAGGCACGGGGGTGAAACACCGCCAACTTCCCAACTCCGGGCTGTTACTGAGACTTACTATACAGGAAGACTCAATAACTAAACTTGGCCCGACCCGGGACTCGATCCAGGACCTCCGGGTGTGCAGCCGTACATGATAGCCACTACACCACCGAGGCAGTTAGTTTTTATAGGTAGCTTAACTATTTTTTCAATCCTTCACATCTCTTGCTGTGTTAAGTATTACACGTTGTTACCCGTGTACGTATTAAGTATTATTGGTTTATTTCAATCAACCATGGTATTATATTTGGTTTATAATTTTTTTTTAATTCTCCTTAAAATTAGAAAGCAAAGAAACATAAACATAACATAAAATAACATAATATAAACAAAACCAATAAATATACTAGAATGAATATAATATGTATATCGTGTTATTGTGATTTTTTCTACTAATTAAAAGCAGTTTAAGAAAGACTGCTGCTAGATCTGTTTTGTAGATCTGATTGCTAGGCACTGTTATGAGATCAGACATAACAGATTTGATATCTATTGGTGCAAAAATATATATTTGTCCCAGTTTAATAAAATGCAGTTTTGGCAACAATGGTCCATGACCATACATTTCAAACTGACTTAGCCTTTATTTTTCCAAATTGTATTAGTTTTTTTTTTCATAATCATATTTTTTTCTAAAATTTGAAAAACCAGTTGAATAACTATAAGGAAAATAAGAACTAGTTCATCTGAGTGATTTATAGATATGCAAGCTGGTATTACAATATTGTCATACAAATAATTAAGTTATATTTGGTTAACAGGTAAAACAGTCATTTAATAATCATCATAATATAATCTTATACAAAATGCGTTGTCACGTCAAAATCGTTAATCAGGATTAGAGGTTGTAGAAATGTTTAATGAATCGACTTATATGGGGAGCGTGACAAATACCATTTTTAATAAAGTGTACTGGGGGTACATCCGACCCATATTTAAGGTGGGTGTTACATTTTAATTACAAATTTCATATTGACATGAATGATTTATATTTTATATAGTGGTATTGTCAGATATTTGACTGAAATGCACTGTGACGAACGTCGCAAAGTCGATGCCTGTTTGAAGTAATTTATTTATTATATATTATATAGATATTTTTTATTAGGTACCTTACTTAGAAAGCATATTATATAATATAGCTAGTATAGGAAGCGGGATAATAAAATGATAGCCTTACCCGTCTCCATGATGAAATTTCATCGAAATCTATTTAGCCGCTTCGCGTAAAAAATTAACAAAAAGGCAGACAGAGTTTCACATTTACAATATTAGTATGGATTATTATCCATACTAAAAAAAACAATTTGATATATGAAATACAAAAATAAGATATATAAAAATAATTTCTTAGATTTACGCAAATATTTGACATTTTAAATAAAACTATCTTTTCGGATTATTTCGCGGATTTATTTTGATTTTTGGTTCCCGACGTTTCGTTTGCTTTACAGCATAATTAAATAAATAATATTGCTATATTTAATAACAATACTTATTAAAAAAATGATTAGAAATAAAAATTAACAAATATTGTAAGGTATTTTGGTGCTGTAAAGCATTCGAAACGTAGGGAACCAAAAATCAAAATAAATCCGCGAAATTATCCGAAAAGATAGTTTTATTTAAAAACAATTTGAGTTAAGTTTGTAAGTTCTTCACAGGTCTGAAGCAGTAGCTTTTCGAATTTTCGGGATACCTACTCATAAGATGCATTCAGCGAGATATGTAGGTATAGGTTCTGCACAGTTTTTTAATTTCAAACTTTTTAACTGAAACGCGTGATAACACTTCTTTATGTTTACTTCTAATGTGTTTATCAATCTATGTATGTATATTTGTTTGTCCCTATGTAGCGTTCTAGATACCAAATGAGTAGGCCGATTTTGATGGTTCATACGTCGTTGGATTTGTCTTGATAACGCGAGCGTCATAGGCTATATAAAAAAATTTAAAATTAAAATGGCGGTTTTCAGGCACCAATTTGTGTCTTTAAAAAAATTCTTGCAAACTAATCGAGTAGGGTATAAAAATTAAGAGTTTTAAGAGGCGATCACAAAAATATATATAACTTACATGTTTAAAAGTAATTTAAGATAAATATTTCCTAAATAAAACATCAAATGTCTCAATTGTGAGAGCAAAAAGTAAGAAATATGTAAATAAAAAAATATATAATAAAAAACCCGACTGCACGAAAGCTAACCAAAGTTGACTAGTGAATAAAGTATTATGCAGTCGGAGACATACATACGTGCATACACCTTGCGGCAATGATGAAACGTCTACTAGTACTAGTTTATTCCTTCGTCAACTTTAGTTAGCTTTTATGCAGTCGGGTTTTTTATTTTTATAATTCATAGATAGGTACTCAACCGTAAAATAACCAAGTAAATAGGTATACGATCGAGACATACTTAATGACACCTCGTATATTTAATATAATCATAACATAAAACGATTATTTCAGTACAGATAAACAATTTAGTATGGTGTTATCAAAAAAATAAAAAATATTAAAAATATATAAATCAAATGTTATCATTCGCTTTTAATATCTTTTATCAGTTGTAAATATGTTTTAAATCCAAATTATCGGCTTAGATTAACTAAATCTTAGATCGTAAATGACGAAATTGATATTAAACGTATATTTTATATTAT